TAGAAAAATTCAGAGGAAAAAAGTGCAGCAAGTCCTAAATGGAAGGGAACTGAGGCTGGTGCCTTAACAGAAGTGGTTACAACATAAGGCAAAGGCAAGGAACTGAGCAAAGATTGGTGCAGATTAAATTCAGCTCTGGAAGACAGGATGTTTGTCTAAAGCCTTGGCAGTGAAAGATGGTTATTCTTGGCTCTAATCACAATCACTGTTTAAGTCCCTCTGCTATACAGTTACCAATAAAGAATGCATTTGATTTCTCTGGAACTGAGAGAGTGCAGAAGCATTAATGCACAAAATAATGGATATATGAACTAGATGGGAATATAAGTATTAACTCTGCTTCTACTGGTCTGTCTAGTTCTGTGTAGATCCCACAAACTGGTTATTGCATTCAGGGCAACCTGCTCTGTGGATTTGAACAAATGATCTCCCTTCCTGCAACAGAATTTTGCCATCTGTACAACAGGAGTGACTCATTTGTATGAGTCCATATAGGAGTCTCCATTTGCAGTGCTCTACAAAGGACAAATAAGAAATGGTTTTTAAGATTAGATTATTTTTATTAATGCTTGAAATCTGCTGTGGTGATCTTGGAGTGGGTATGATGGAGAAGGTGGTCTAGCAGCAGAGCAGTAAAGCCAAAAGGCCTAAAACACTGTAATTTGGAAATCTCTTAAGCAGGGGCTTAGCCTCAAATTGAGGCAACTGTCTTGCAGACAGAAAATGAAGGTTTGGGTGTTTTTAAATAATGTAAATGTGTGCTACAGCATTTGGTGAGCTGGGACATGAATACATTTGTTATGAATCCTGTTTGGAACCAAGGCTGATGAACTGGCAGCACATCCTTCATACACATCAGGTACTTATGGGTGAACTGGGAAATGCACAATGCAGTGCAAACACATTTACAACATACCCACTGCCCCAGAATCTGACATTCTTTCCAAGACCTTAGCAGGTCAACAGTTGGGTGACTTATATTCAAATTAATATTTTAATCAATTGCAACTTGAATGCAATATAATGCTGGAAGAAGCCTCCCTGTCAACCTTTTTACTTGGTCAGTTCCCACTTACAAAATACAAACAGCCACGAAGACCTGGTTTTGAGCCATGTTCAGAGAAGATGGAGCACAGTACAGGCAATTATTCTCTAACAAAAGGGTTTTACTAACAGCCTAGGCAGTGCTGAATATTGATCTGTGTGGTATTGAAAATTCCAATTTGTTTTATTAAATTCAGCACTTTAAGAGCCAGAAATGTATTTAGAAAACAGCCAGTGACATTCTCTCACTGTCCTAATGCAGCCTCTTTCCCACAACTTGAAAATGCCTGACTGTTAAATTAACATTTAATTCAGTACCATGAGCAAGTTTTCATCATCATAAGTTCTGGCCTTCTAAACTTAATGCTCCATGTAATTTTTTAATAAAGAGATGGTTAACTTCATAGCAGAACTTGTTACAGATAACTGTGCCAAAAGAAACCTCCTTCACCTGCATAAACCCTCACAGTGGACATTTTGGAATGGTACAAAGTCAGCAGCTCTTGTTATCCATTTAAAAAATAAATAAATATACTTCAAGAAAATAAGCAGGATGGAAATAAAAGCATGTTTGTAAGATGAGCTTTACACCATCCAAATGAGGCAGTATATGGGTAAACCCCACATAGTAGTATTTTCTCTGCCACTCTAAACACAACTGACTTGCACAGGTGAAAAACTGAAGTGTATATATTGATAAAAGATGTTCCAGGAGGGAAAAAATCCAATTTGATAAGAGAAAGGCAAAGGCAAACAGACTTGTAAAGAAAGGTAAGGTCAAAAGGGATCCAAGCATGTCAGACATTGTGGTTAGGCAATACTGTGCAAGCAAAAAGAACTGATTTTCTTAGAGCCTCTAAAGTAATGCCTAGAATGTTCTGAACACAAATTAAAATTTGCTACACCAAAAATACAAACAGGCAGCAAAACTGCTAAATTTCTTTTTTCTTTTTTTTTTTTTTTTTTAGTAGCTTAAAGCATCTATTTTCACAGATATTTGAAAATGTTTTAGCCTAGAACATGCCTAGGGGCTCTATAGCTCCTCAGTTCATTATTCAGCTAACCATCATTACAAAAGGAGCTTCTTCAGTCTTGTTTCTGTCATGAAAAATGAGGGAAAAAGCTACACAGAGATGTAACATCCACATCTGGTGAGCCTCTTGAGGAGCACACAGAATGCCCAAAAATCCCACTTTGAATGAGTGTAATTATGCCAGAAACAACCTCCTGTGGTAACAACATCAGGAACTTTAATGCAGCTGAGCAGTGGCAAAGTTCTGGCACAGCTTTCCTATGGAAACCTGGAGTACCTACACACAGAGTGATATTTGACATGGAAAAAATATTGAATGAAGTGTAAATCATTCAAATATAAAAGCAAAACATGCCTTCCCCCAAAATAACCTGAACACCACCAAGTATCCAGCACCCTTGAATAACTGCTGTTTGATTTTTCCATATATTTGTGTGCTTAACATGTACTCTACTTTATGGATATTGAATAATCACAAAGAAAACCTGATACAAAGATATCANTGATCATGGATTTCTCAAGTAGCAGATCATGGATTTCTCAAGTAACTGATCATGGATTTCTCAAGTAACTGATCATGGATTTCTCAAGGAATTGATCGTGGATTTCTCAAGTAACTGATCATGGATTTCTCAATAGCTTTGTCCAGCAGCTGGACACTGTAACACCCATCATTTCTGTGCTGGTTTTTCCCCGCTTTATTTCTGGAGTGATGGTACCAACCTGAGCAATGCCACCCACAAACTTGGTTTTGACCACAACGTCGTCATCCTCTGCTTTTCCAAACGCTGCTTTCTGGGCTGCCCTCACAAGATTGTCTGATGCACGCTTGACAGCATTTCCTGCAGCCTTCGAGAAAAAAAAGAAATTGAGTGAAAAGAAAAGAACAAACATGGATTTGTCTGAACATCAAAACAAACATCTGTGCTTGACTGCACAGGAAAGGTATGGGGTTTTTTTTCCCCAGGGAAAAGCAAATTAATCTGTGAAAATCAGTGGTACAGAGAAAACAAAATTCCTTTCTTTAAAAAGCTGAATGTTGGAGAAGAAACAAATGAGATTTTTTTCCAATCATTTAAAAAAAAGCAGTGGATGAAATTCCAATTTATAATTTAATGATCAGACTTTTTTTTTGAGAAGAACAGAAACTAAAAACTAGTGTATAAAGAGATCATAAAACAATATAATTTTAAAATTAATGGATTTTAATCAGGTCAAATTAGCAACTTACACAGCCATGGTTCTCTCACATTTAAACTTTTATTTCCTAAAATTTCTCAGAGAAACATTGAAATATTTGTAATATTTATCTTTTGTTGCAATATATGTCTTTTGTTTCGACAAAATATTTATCTTTTGTTGTCTGAATAGATATATATTAATTTTTTGTTATATATATATATATATATATATATATATATATATATATTTCCTATCCCATATTTCTAGCTGCATCTCACTTACAAGCCTTCCTCACTGAGATGTCCCAAGGATAAATTGTTTGAAATTTACTCTGCTCAGTCTGGAGCTCATCCAGAAAGAATGGAAACATTTCCAATTGCTTCATTAAGTTTTGGAAGGTTCTGTAACAGTGCAGTCCAAATTTACATTCATGGGAAATGCAGTTCAAATTGGGGTATAAGGAAAAAACCAAGACACTCAAAGTCCTCAATCCAACCTATTGATTAAAGCTATGTAAAGCATTTCTGCTGGGGGCAAAGCCAGCTGAAAAGTCTCAGTAGTTTTGGCATGTCCACCAGTAAAAATATTTAGCAGACATCAACTCATTGTTTTTGCTGTGATAAAGGACATGATTTCCAAGTGCAAACTGCTCTTCCTTTCATTATTCATTCTGGGACTAAAATGACACTTGGTTGTCCGGTTTTCNAGGAAAAGGAAAAGGAAAAGGAAAAGAAAAAGAAAAAGAAAAAAAGAAAAAGAAGGAAAAGGAAGGAAAAGGAAGGAAAAGGAAAATCTTTCAAGGAGCTTATTGTTGGTGAAGACCAAACTAAAATATATTACTTACTTATTTTTATGGCCAGATAAATACTCTACATAATGTATGGTAGCATGACTACAAACTTCACTGCACTTCTCTTGAGGTTAAAACTTTAAAAGGAAAGGAAGACATTAAAGTGAGAGCTCAAACCCCCAGAAACTTCAGTATAAAATTTCAAAGCTATTTTCAAGAAGGTTCTTCCACTGCAGTGCAGTGATAATTTGAGGAAAAAACCAGGGGTTTGTACTGCATTTTATTTTTTAAAAAGTGTCAGATGGCACTTTTAGCTCAGTAAATGAGGGCAGTTTGTAAGAGTTGTGACTCATGTGCCTGAACAGGTTTTGCATTTGGCATCATTAACTGTGCCACAGAAATGTGATGTTCCATTACCACGACCACCACAATGTGTTTAATGAAGTAACATGAATATGGAAAAGCAGGTTGCAGAAATCATGACAATTCTGGGCAGATCATTGTCTCTGTTAACCATGATGCAATTACATAAAGAGAAAATTTCCAGGGTTGTTCCCTGCCCCTAAACCAAGCCCACTCCTAAAGGGGAAAAAAGCCAAAACCCAAGAGGTTACAAAATATGGAGGGATGATAAATGCCATACTCCTGGGCTGAATATTTTACCACTTGATAAGGACTGATGAAAACCAGAAATGCACTCATGATCTCAGCATATTTAGGTTGAGGAGGTTTGTAGATTTATGTACTCCTCCCTTCATTAGCAATTAAGTAATGAACATGCAGAAAATCAAAGGGAATGGGACATACAAAAAAAGTCTGGAATTCAATTTCTGTTTCAGATCTTTTCTAACTTTTGAGGCTTCTGAAGTATAAAAGTTTTGACAAATGATGAAATATTCAATTTTCTGAACAGTTGGGGAAAAGACATCACACTATTTGTACACAAAGAACTTTGAGGCATTTTGTTTTTAATTTGCATACAATTCTCAGAGTGAATTCCACATGAAGAAGGGTGAGATACAACAGAGCTCATTCATCATTTCACAAGTTAACAGAACAAAGTAAACATCTGTCCTTCTTATTAATTAGCATCTACCCCTTCCTCCAATTTGTCACTTCCTGCTGCAAGTTCCCATGCCAAAGAAATGGCTGGACTGGTTCCAAACTCCACAGATGTTCACACGTGAACTTCAGCGATACTGCAAATTCTAACAGCGAGAAAGAAGTTGAAAGACTTTGGATGACCTTATATTCTCTTAATGGTTCACAAATGAAGACCCAAAATTCTGAGTAAAAAAATACTTCAGTTGTCCAGCTCAGCTATTCACTGACTGTGGTTCCTCCATGGAGCACCCAGCTAAGGAAAAAATACTTTGTCATGTAAGAGGGGGCACTAAATCACAACAGAGAAGTCTCAAATGGACTTCCTAAACACTTTTCTCTGGAGCACAGTTTGAACATGCTCTTACCTTCTACATACTGATAAAGTTTTCTAGCTATATCATTTCCATACATAGCTGCATTTGAAAAGGTTTTTTGGCTTATATCAAACTGGCAGATACCATCCTGACTGAAGTATATTACATCAGTATTATCCCTACAATAAAACAGTGGCATGGTGTTAAAGACAGCATCATCTTTCTTCATGCTTTAATGAGATCAAATAACACTTAAAGGCAGGTTGGAAGGGAAGTAGTAGCAAATCTGTCTTGCAGATCTTTCTGAAAGAGATCAGAGACTGAAGCTGTGCAGGTAAGAAAAGGAAAGGCATGAGCTGCAAAGGAGTTGAACCTACCAACAGCAGCAGAAAATCCCCATCACTTGAGCAGTCTTTATTCAGCTCTTACAGCAATAAATACCAGTTCAGCCTTCTGCCCAAAGACTTACAGAAAGCCTTGTTCTTGGTGGAGGACTCCAGACTGTGACACTGTTCACAGTGAGTGGAACAAAAACCTAAATGGTGTTGAAGTGGCAAATGAAAGAACTCAGAATTGCACATCTCTGACAGGACAGGGTTTGCATTTGCACACAAGCCTACACATCACAGCACATCTGTCAATGCCAGTGATTCCATTTGGGACACACCAGTTTATTTTCCTCATGATTGTGGATTTTCCAGCAACTCTACTGAATCTGAAATACGTCAGTATCAGAGAAGAGACAATAAAAACCTTTTTACACTTCAATATTTATTAATTCTCTAGCAGATTTTTGCTATATATTTAGTACTAGTGTAACAAAATTCCTGATAATTCTGTCTCATGCAGGTAACTTAAATGAGGAGTTAGCACTACCTAAACTGCAGAACTACCATTGGGGGTTCCTGGGGATGTACAGGGCAGGAATTTCCTGCAGCAAGGACACCGAGGTGGGGATGCACAGAACACAGGGCAGGCTCAGCTGAACGTACCTGGCATGGAAGGACTGCAGGGGCAGCACCCTGTCACCTACACAGACTGCCATTGCTGTTAGGAGGGCTTGGGAGGAGTTGGAAACTCCTGTCAGGAAAGATGATGTTTCTGTAGTTATTCAACTTTGCTGCTTAAAGTTGCTGTATTTGTGTTCTCTTTTTGACACAGTGAAAGATGTTACTCTACCCAAATTGCTATTACTGAGAGCATACTGTACCTTTCTGCACAAAGATTGCTGATAGACTGCTGCTATTCCTTCTCTGCAATTCCTTTTTCATCAATAGCAACTATGAAAACAAACTCTCTAGAGTCCAAATTTTTAAAAAATATATTACAGGAAAAATTGTAAATCTACTTGTAAATCACTTATTCTTTTCTCCTACAATTCCCACAGGTTTCAAAACATAATAATTATAAATGTAATTATTAAAATAATAACAAGAGTTGTGATAGTCTTTTGTTGTACTGGGCATTTCCCTTTTTTAACTGAGATACATTCTAACAGAAATACCACAGTACGAACCAGATAATTTCAATTAAAAAACAAAATGCAAACGATTCAGTCCAATGTTAGAGCATGTGTATGTGTGTATAATACTGTAAAAGTAGTCACACATTAGAGGTATATAATTGAAACAGCATTTTCTTTCATGAACCTGCTATTATTGAGGCAGTGACAAGGTTTCCATTTCTTTGTTTTTTGAGCTCTTTAAAGAATGGCTATTGCCACATTATGTAAACCTAAATACTGCACAAGCAGAAGCTTGTTGGTATCAGGTAAGGAATAATACCAGTAGTGCAAACAGCTGCAGAGACAATTCCTCCAGTTTTGGGGTGAACCAGCTATATAACACTGAAAGAGCACAGGCTTCTTCACAGCCACACTCGTGCGTGTTTCTCACTCAGCTACACATCCTTCTCCACCTTGGTCTGCTTTTTACAAGGGTACCTGGGGGACAACCACCAGCTCATGGGATATTTATCATAGAAAACACTTCTTGACTCTTTTCCTAACTCATCAATGTTTTAGAACAAGTCAAGGAATGATAAATACCTCAAGCATCAGGCAAGTGACAATAATACTGACTTAGTATCTTTAGTAAAAAGTGAAACATTCTCTCCTGAGATAGAAATCAAGGGAGGAACAGGAATGATGAACCTAACACTGTACCATTGTTTGATCATCGTGCACCTCAGCTGAGCAGGTGGGAAAGAACAATTGTTCATTGCCCTCTGCTCATCCAAAGCTGTGACAGGCAGTTTATTTAGCTAAGTGCTTGGCTTCTCAGTATGCTGTCAGAGCAGTTCTCAATGTGCTGTCCCCCTTTAGCTTATTTCTTTAAAAGAAAAAAAAAGGGGAAAAAAAAAAGAAAACAAAACAATAAAAAGGAAGAAAAATCTCAGCAGGTTAACAGTTAACCCTCATCTTCTCTCAGCTCTGTGGGTAGAAATTTGTATTGCTGTTGGCGGATCTGAGCCAGTTTTTTCCTTGCCTCTTCCAGTTCTCTCTCCTTCTTCAGCATTTCTTCTTGGGCTGCAATAATCTAGAAAACAGAAACAGCAGGAATACTGTCTGTAAAATAAGATTTCTTTCCCTATGACACCACAGTCACAGCTGGCCATGTGAGCATTCTCCACAGAAGCACCTCACTTCAATGACTTCATCAGGAACTGCTCAAATTTTTCCAGATGCCAGGACTAGGCCATCAAGAAAAATATTCTATTTCCACTTGAATAAAAGAAAAAAAGAATCTACCACCTTAGTTGTACCATGCATCCATGATGAATTTTACAGTTCTGGATGTTACAGTTCTGCATTCTCCCAACATTCAGCAGGGTGGGGGTTTAGAACATGTACAATAAGCACTATATCTTAACATAATATCTGACTGACAGTAAAACTGAACTCTCCTCATATCCACAGTATTTTCCTGCATCTCAGAATGCCAAAATAAAAATGACAGCACTACAGACATGCAGAAATAATCAATCCAGTATATTTTAAGTAGCAATTACAGTATCTGATGTACCTCATTCATTATAAGGAATCTAAAAGTTGGTACCTCAGAGCCTTGAAATCTACTTTTAAATATTGTTATTATTTCTCAATAATTATTATGGTCACAGCAACAAAGCCTCATTGGTTCTTATCTCTCCTTCTCTATTTCTTTGCTTAAATACATGCAAAATCATT